ATGCTTATAAGGCCAAAAATGCCTTATCTGATTTATAAAGTTAGCATTACTTCGAAAAAATGAAAATACGTCGGTTTTCCAGAAACGAAGCCAGACATTAACAAAAACCTGTACCTTTTTTTTCTTAAGAAATGTATTCCTTCATTGTGAACGGGGACAATTTTCTATTTTTTTTTCAGAAGCCGCATATATGTAGTGATTTTGGTACAACACATCAGTGCTTGAATGTCCTCACTAACCTGCGACGTCAACCAGCAACTGCCCTTGAAGTTGAATACAGGGAAAAGGTGGGAAGCACTGGTATAATTAGGAGTGATTTTAAGTTTTTTTGTCGCTTTTCAGATGTTGGCTGCAATGAATGGATGGGAAATTTCTGAATTAATGGCACAGACTTTTGCGATAAACGCTACCTTATTACCGATTAAAAGCGTTGGAGTACAAGGTGACAGTCGGTGAGTTGTTATTCCGCGGTTGTCAGCATTTCATCGTGATTGACGTTTCTTTTAGATCTTACTCCTATGTTGCTGCTTTGTCTGTTGCACAACAGACAATTCCGTGGCAATTGCTAGCTCGTTATGCTAATATCATACCAAAGCTACTTCATAACATTAACAGGTTCGTTAGTCAGGACATGTTCTAAGCACCATTGATATGAAACATAATTCAATAATTTTTCAAATTAAAGGGTCGTTTACGTTTTTGGTGGACCGATTAACTACCCGGTTACTACTATCACTCCGACGTTTCTCAACGCATTTACAGTAAAAGTTTTGCAAGAGGTTAGTGCAGCTTTACTTTACTTCTAAGTTGCTTAAGTTGCATATTATCATTTTGTTAGGCCGATCATTTGGCTACTGAAGCTCTACACGGAAGACGTACAGATGGTAGCCGTGATCCCGACTTGGAAGATCTCAGCAAAAAAGTCCAACAGGTGGTTTCCTTTTCCTCACTCCTTTTTTGATCTCTTTTCCTCTAGTGTTCCCTTAACTTTTGGATTCTCCGTCCCATTTTGAAAGAAACTAGCGGAAACATTAAAACATCGCGGGCTTAAACCTTCTGCAAGGTACCTGTCCACCTTTGACACACTAGTAGGCCGGCTACGACCTAACAAGTTCGTGGCCTATCTCCGAAAAGTGGTGCTTTCACAAAAATCTGTATCTGACCGGCCGCCGTCTCCAACGTGGAAAGCTTAGCCTCCCATTACATGTGTGCAGTCTGCCGGAATGCCCCTCCTTAATCTCTCGATACGTCATATACAGTGTTATCGTGCGAAGATTAAGAAGTCTTCAAAAACCACTCGAGCATATCTGGGAGGAATACGCTGGGCTCAAGTTCATGGTCGCTACTGCTCCGGGAAAACCGGTGAAGGTGAACCGCTAGATCGAACAGTGGATCCTGAACTGAAAAGGCAAATTATCGGAAATACTTTCATTCGTGTGAAGGATCGTGTTATGGAAGAGGTAGTCCCAGATTTTTAGTACTGCAAATTTGCAGAGTTCATCTTTGACATCGCTCGTATCAGTTAGTGCTCATCCGTTATTTTTATTATTGATGTTTGATTGTTTAGTTGAAACTCAACAAAGACGACTATTTCCTCGCACAAGGTACTTTGCGGCCTGACTTGATAGAAAGTGCTAGCGAAATTGCTAGCGGGCACGCTGACATTATCAAAACCCATCACAATGATACCGCTCTTGTGAGGGAATTACGTGCATCTGTAAGTTATCTAACTTCCTCATCTCATGAAGGATTCCCTCTGTAGTATTTGTCAGTCATGCACAAATGTTATTTTTAGGGCCGTGTTATTGAACCTTTGAGAGATTTCCATAAAGACGAAGTGCGTGAACTAGGTCGGTCGCTTGGTCTTCCCGAGCAGATTGTCAATCGACAGCCTTTTTCCTGGTACCATGTACTGGCTATACGTAGTTATTTGTGCTCAGGTTGGGTTTGGTCATGAACAACATGCAAAAGATATTTTTGAGAAATCGGAAGCCTATCACATACATATATAACCTCCCCTTCAAAAAGCGAGAAAGTGTCGGGTGCAGACCAAACACCACAACTGACGACGGCCTCCAAGTAAATCTGGTTAGAAGTTGTTCATAGTGATAGCTGATTTCTGGTAAATGATAGTTGTAATTAGTGACAATCGATAGAATACAACTGCAATGAAGGCCGTCGTCACTTCATTTGCATGGTCTGCA